ATTCTTGATGTAAAAAAAAAACAGCATTCTGAGAGTATTGCATGGCAATACATAGTCCCCTACTAATAAAAAATTCATTGTACTGGGACAAAATGCTAACTTGATCTATAACTTGTCATGGTATAAACTATATAACAAATATCAAGTCAATATCTTCAAGCATGTTGTAAAAAATTGTGGAAAACTGATTATTTGAATGAATTTTCCAAGTCCAAGGACAATACATTTTGTAACTCTGCACAAAATCATCAGACCGGAACAAAAGTAAAACACAGGATTAAATTCTAAGACGCTAATGACACTGAGAACCTCATAACATTACTTGAATGCAAAAATTTTGCACTGGTATAAAAAATGAAAAAAACAAGTTCCAAAATATCATTAATACAAAGTCTTTAAAATCAATAAAACTTACCATTACTTATTATTCAAAATATCTAATAATGAACAGTAAAATTCAAACTATATCAATACATAATTTCTTCTTTAAAATTTGATATGATGCTGTATCTATTTTCAACTATGACTCAACTTAAAATTTCTATTAATTGTGCAATACATCTCTGAATTTAAATTCTGATTAAATATCTACTATAGCATTAGTTTCTGACACAGAATGAATGTGGTTTAAGAACTTAAATAATTTAAAATTGGGCATTTACCAATTATGATCCAATATCCAAATTATAAATACATGGTTGGAAACAGCATATCAAAGAACTCCAAGAATTACATTTTTGAAGAAATCCAACAAAGTTTAATTTTGGACCACAATGTGAACCAATTTGATAACAGGACCCAAAATCCAAAATCTAAATATACACTTAAATTCAGCATATCAAAGAACCCCATATATTCAATTTTTGTTAAAATCTAACAAAGTTTAATCCCAATTTCAACCAACTTGAAAACTGTATCTAAAAACAAAAAATCTAATTATATGCTTAGATTCAGCATATCATATAAACGCAAGAATTCAATTTTTGCTAAAATCAAACTAAGTTTCATTTTGGATACTTTGGACCCTAATGTGGACCAGTTTGAAAAACAGGCCCAAATTTAAAACACTGTTAGATTGCACGTGTCAAACAACACCAATAATTCAATTTTTTTTCAAATCAAACAAAGTCTAATTTTGGCCTAATGTGGACCAACTTGAATACTGCCCAAAACCAAAAATCTAAATACATGCTTGAATTCAGCATATCAAAGAACTTCAATTCATTTTTTTTTTAAATCAAACAAAGTTTAATTTTGAACCCTTTGGACCTTAATGTGGACCAATTTGAAGACAGGCCCCAAAATTAAAAAATTTAAATACACAATTAGATAATGCATATGAATAAACACCGATAATTTAATTTCTGAAGAAAAAAAAATCAAACAAAGTTTAATTTTGGACCCTTTGGACCTTTTAATATGGATCAATTCAAAAACAGGGCCTAAAATCCAAATTCTAAATACCCAATTAGATTCAGCATATTGAAGAACCCCAAGAATTCAAGACTTTGATTTAAATTGCTTAAAAATAAGCAATTTATACAAAGTATTACAAAAGTATTGTTTTTGGTCCCTTTTAACTATACCGTTACGGTCATAACCCCCTAAAATCAATTCCAAACTTTATTTTATGGTATAACACCTTGTGGAACAATTAAATAGCAATCCATAGACTTATACTCAAGTTATTGTCCATAAACAAGAAAATCCTATTTGCCTCTTTTAGGCCCCTAATTATTAAATGGTTTGGGCCATAACCCCCAAAATCAATCCCAACTTTCCTTTTGAATTATAGAACCTTGTGGTAAAATTTCATAAAAAAAATGCTTGTTTTTGGCCCTTAATTACCTAACAACTATGACAATATCCCCCAAAATAAATCCCAACCTTTTAATATTGTGGTATGGAACCTTGTACTAAAATTTAATAGAGATCCATTCACTTATACTCAAGTTATTGTCTGCAAACCAGAAAAATAATTGTTTTTGGCCCCTTTTTGGCCCCTAATTACAAAACAACTATGACAATAACCCCCAAAATAAATCCCAACCTTCCTTTTGTGGTAAGAAACCTTGTGCTAAAATTTAAGAGAGATCCATACACTTATACTCATGACAAGTTATTGTCTTAAAACCAGAAAAATAATTGTTTTTGGCCCCTTTCTGGCCCCTTATTACAAAACAACTACGACAACAACCCCAAAAATCAATCCCAATCCTGTTGGGGTTTGGAACCTTTGTGCTAAAATTTCATACAGATCCATACACTTTAATATACACAAGTTATTTTCTGTGAACCAAATTATTTTCTATGAACCAGTAAAACTGACCTTTTTTGGCCCCTTATTACAAAACCGCTAGGACAATACCCCAAAAAAACAATCCAAACCATCCTTTAGTGGTATGGAACCTTGTGCTAAAATTTCATAGAGATCCATACACTTATACTCAAGTTATTGTCTGAGAAACAAAAAGTCTTTGAACGCTGACACAGACATCGCATAACATAATACGACCCAAAAAAATTGTGGTAGTATAAAAAGCAATAAAATATGAATTTTTTCATTTGGATTTTCACATGAACAAGGATCCAAATCAAGGTAATCAATCGATGGCAAGCATTAAACTAGCCTCCACACTTTATATAACGAAAAGAAGATAAGTAAAAGTCAAAAGTTTTATTGAAAGTCAATCTGCATAATTTACAAATATCATTTTTAATCAACAAAGTACTGGCAGGAACCCAGACTTTTTCAATAATATATTATATAATGTGCTCTAACATGGCTGTAGTGCAATGTCAATAAACACATTGAAATATTCAACGATGACCACAATTGAAGAAAATTTAGATTTTCCACCAATTTTTTTGTATCAGAAAAATTAGAATAATAGTTTTGTGGTAATCTACAGAATTAAACATAGGCTAAAATGTGCCTATGATTTTTATTTGATGTCCTATTACAGAACAATGACTTGATTCTTTTCACACAAATCATATTATTTATTTCAAAAATACAAAATTAATTCATTTCCATCTGATGCCTACATAAAGAAATTTAATTTCATGAAAGGGGCATTAGCTACAAGATATAAAAAAAAATAAAATATGATTTTTTTTGTTCAATCATTAATGAAAGTGAAATAGTGAAATAATAATTTGCTTGTAACAGCCAGTTTGGTTCAGTTTTGTTAAATTAAGCAAAGAAAGATCGCTAATGAATTATTCACTTGCAAGTGAATAATTTCGACCTCATTGAATCCGTATTCATGTGAACTTTAATTGATCCCTATAGCTAGAGATGGGTTACGCATGAACTAGGCGTGTTCAATTATTAAATGGAAAAGAATGTAAACATTGAAAGTGAAACAAGGGTAAACCATTTGGTTGACTGGTTTGATCTAGAAAAACTCATTCTTATACAGGTAACAAGAGTGCACACGCTGAAATGTCTCGCCTTCTTTACTAACCATTGATATTATGTTGATAGTCCTAAATGAAAGCTTTACTACAACTATTACATAAACTTAACATGATCCAAGAAAATGAAGTGAAGGTCATATAAACCAAACGAGAAATACATGTACACCTTACAATCATTCAATACACTAAATATAGTTGACCTATTGCTTACAGTTTCTAAGAAACAGACTTAACCAAGAAAACTAAACATTGACCAATGAATCGTGAAAATGAGGTCAAGGTCAGATGAACCATGCCAGGCAGACATGAACAGCTTACAATCCTTCCATACAACAAATATAGCTGACCTATTGCTTATAGTTTAAGAAAAACAGACTGAAACATATAAACTTAACACTGAGCAATGAACCATGAAAATGAGGTCACGGTCAAATAAAACCTGCGAGACTGACATGTGCATCATAGAATATTTCCATACACCAAATATAGTTGACTTATTGCATTGAGGGCCTCAGGGAAGATTAGTTTATTGTAACTAACTGAGTTTACCCTCTTTAAATAAAGAATTTATTATTATTATTATTATTATTATATAGTATAAGAAAAAAGACCAAAACTCAAAAACTTAACTTTGACCACTGAACCATGAAAATAAGGTCAAAGTCAGATGACACCTGCCAGTTGGACATCTACACCTTACAATCATTCCATACACCAAATATAGTAGACCTATTGCATAAAGTATAAGAAAAACGGACCAAAACACAAAAACTTAACTATAACCATTGAACCATGAAAATGAGGTCAAGGTCAGATGACACCTGCCAGCTAGACATGTACACCTTACAATCATTCCATACACCAAATATAGTAGACCTATTGCATACAGTATAAGAAAAACAGACCAAACACAAAAACTTAACTATAACCACTGAACCATGAAAATGAGGGTAAGGTCAGATGACACCTGCCAGTTGGACATGTACACCTTACAGTCAATCCATACACCGAACATACTAGACCTATTGCTTAAAGTATCTGAGAAATGGACTTGACCACCAAAATTTAACCTTGTTCACTGATCCATGAAATGAGGTCGAGGTCAAGTGAAAACTGTCTGACAGGCATGAGGACCTTGCAAGGTACGCACATACCAAATATAGTAATCCTATTACTTATAATAAGAGAGAATTTAACATTACAAAAAATCTTAACTTTTTTTTCAAGTTGTCACTGAACCATGAAAATGAGGTCAAGGACATTGGACATGTGACTGACGGAAACTTTGTAACATGAGGCATCCATATACAAAGTATGAAGCATACAGGTCTTCCACCTTCTAAAATATAAAGCTTTTAAGAATTTAGCTAACGCCGCCGCCGCCGGATCACTATCCCTATGTCGAGCTTTCTGCGACAAAAGTCGCAGGCTTGACAAAAAACGATTATTAACATATTTTTTTAAACCTATAATATGAAATCAAACAGACCTAGAAAAATCCAATTGCACAAGTTCGCAATCTATTTATATCTATGTTTATGTTTGTATCAGGTTATATGACCATCGGCAGTCTTCGGAGGTCACCTCGATGGTTAATTAGATGGCGTCTAGACTAAAATACACATGAAATATGGAGTCTATGCATCGTAAATTGTTTATTTTAGAATTTTTATAATTTGGATATGCGTTTAAGTATGTTATAAGTCGAATATAAGAATTTGAGTCAAACCAGTGAAAATGAATTTGACTAATGCCCTTTTAAGATCATAATTAAAACAGGGCAACATGGAAAACAAGAGGAGAAAAACAATGTATGAAAAAATATAAAAATTGTGGAGACATACATGTATAAGTTGATCTATAATTTCATTATAATTAGAGTTACATGAATGTAATTTAAATCATGAGAAAAATATTTTTTTTAATTCAAATGGGGTAATTACATGTTGTTTTAAAAAATCTTACATCAACTTGCTTTATATCAAAGTGAATCTTAGTTCACTTGTAGAAGTAGTGAACAAAAAAATGGAAACTAAGGAAGAATGGTTATATCTTTATAGGACTGATGTCAGACGTACTAACACTAGCAACATTTGTATGTTGTGAAGAGGTTTTATATGGAGTAACTTTTATTTAGGTGATCTGCAATACATAAATGTTAATCCTCTGCCTTACATCCACAGGTGATTCAATTGTAAAAAAAGAGCAGACCATTATATATGCTAAAAAAAAACCCATTAAGCACAATTGAGCAAAATTGTCTGAAATATACAAGACCATGTTAAAAGAAAGCAAAAAGTTCCCATTTGGCAGCAAATGCAAAGAATTAAAAATGGAAATTGGATAGTGTTTTATTTACACATGTAACAAACTAGGTAACAACTATATCTATGACAAAATGGAGTAGGTTCAACATATGAGAAACCTCAGAAAAATAATTCAAACTTGTAACCAAAATAGAAGTTGCACCTTTTCAATCTGTGTGCAATCAATGCATGCAAGTAATATTAATGTAAGTTTGAATAATGTTGGAGGAAAACTGTTTGAGTTACACATGGCACAAACTAGATACACTCGTTGTGTTTCAGAAGGACTGACAGATGGACAGACAAACAGAAAAACTTCTAGTAGATCTGCTTTTACCTTTGATAATGCAGGTAAAAAAATAAGTCCATATACACAGGTGAGTTTGGAAAATCTCTATTGATGAATCTAATGGAAACATTTTATTTGCAAAAGAATATTTTTGTATATGTTCAGCATCATAAAAAAAAATCATGAATTTCTGGCAAAAAAGGAAAAAATTTTGGAGGTTGACACAAGTTTTTAAACATTTGAGAAAAATCTACTTTTATTTGTTACTACATGTTTAACATTCACTTTTTATCAAATCCCTTCTGAAAGTTAGTGAGGCACATCATAGCTTAACATATTTCATTGTATTAACTGTTTGGTAAATAGTCATATCCCACATTATTATCAATACTACTATAAATTAGTACTATGATGATTTTAGTGGTATAGATATTGTCAACAAGTCATATGCTGCTACAACTCTATCTTTTCCTATCACAGAAGCTGCTTCATCATACAATATCTGTACAGTTTCTTCTTTCTGTGAATAAACATATGATGACATTATATTGTTTACTTCTCTGTTTAAAGTCTTGTATATATACTGTTGTCCAATCAATTCCAAATAAATGGATTTTTTTCTCATAATTAATATTCAAATTGGTGCTTTTATTTCAAAATAAAACATCCGATATTGATTATGTGTGTCCAGTTTCTAGTACTTTTGACAATTTCCAATGAAAATCATCGTTAGATGTTTATTTTCACCAAAAATATATTGCCTCATTAAGCTGTTATACAAAGAGGAAACTAGTGGCTTAGAGCCTGTTTCTCTCACCTAGTTCTATGTACATTTTCATCAATAGACACTTTCCAACATTGTAGACTACAATATTGTTCATGGATATAATCTCTTTTTTGCTGATCTTGTATTGCGGATAATTTTTGTCTGTTTACAGTATCTCTCTTCATTCTAAAGTTTTTGTCCAAAACATGTAAAAGTGTAAAAATCGTCGTTTAAATGCAATAACACTTATAAGACAACTGACAATTTCATCTATGCTGACCTATTTTCAGATCTTGTCTTATTAGTTTTTTTTTTTTGTTTTTTTTCAAGTTTCTATCTATTTATTATAGTTTTCAAGATTTAAAACAAAAACACAAAAAAATTGATTAAAATTGTAATTTAACGGCATTTCCTCCTTTAAAATGATGAGCAACCATTTAAGCGATATCAACAAATTTCCAAATCTTGCCTTGTGAATCACTTTAGCTATTTAAAGTTTCTATCTACTGTAAATTCAGAAATTATTGCAAGTTTTTTACTATTGCCAATAATGTGACTAGGTGGGTATAGCAATAATGAGAACTCACATTCTGATATCTGATACAAATATCTGTATGCAGATTTTTCTGAAATCAAAATAATGAATTTCACATTTTTGTCCATTCTTAAAAAATCCAAATGATAAATGCACACAATAATTTCTGAATTTACAGTATCTTTTATAGTTTTTAAAATAATAGGCAAATAACAACAAATTGGTAAATATTGTGATTAAAGGGCAATAACTATAATAAGGACTTGACCAACAATTTCAGCAAAACTAAGTTATTAGTAGATCTTGCCTTATGGATCATTTTTGCTTGCAAAAGTATCTATCTATCTTTTTTAGTTTACAAGTTAAGAGGCAAAAATGAAAAAATGGTAAAAGAGAGGCGAATAATACCCAAGTGACGTTCAAACTCACAAGTCGTAAATAAACTGACAATGCCATGGCATAAAAAGAAAAGGACCAAAATAGTCAATAAAGGGCATTAACTCCAGTAAGGAGTCAACAGACAATTTCTGCATTGTTTTTACTTCATAGTAGATCTTGTCGTGCTGATCATGTTTGCTATTTTAAGTTTCTATCTATCTATTATAGTTTTCAAAATAAAAGGCAAAAACACCAAAAAATGGCAAAAATTGTGATTTAAGGGCAATGACTCCATTAAGGAGTCGTCTGACTATTTTGACCTTGCTGACTTATTTGTAGACATTGTCTTGCTGATCATTTTTGCTAAAGTTTCTCTCTATCTATTATAGTTGAAATAACACATTTTTGCTCTTGTCAGATTTTCTCTAGTCATTAAGATATTGAAAAAACTTCAACCCTATGTTCTATTTTTAGCCATGTCAGCCATGTTTGTTGACAGTAGGGGTCATCAGACACATCTCTTAAATTAAAAACCCTAATGATGATTGTAGCCAAATTTAGTTTAATTTAGCTTAGTAGTTCAACGGAGAAGATTTTTGTAACGTTAACTGACGACGACGACATTAGACACCAAGTGATGAGAAAAGCTCACTTGGCCCTTTGAGCCAGTTGAGATAAAAAGGAAGAAATATACTTACCTCAGTATCTGTGCAATTGATAGGTTTATATCTCTGACTATAATGTGTCAATACCAGCTTCTCAACATCTAATCTTTGGGCAATGTCTGCTGCCATATCTGAAACAAAAAAAAAATGTTACATCAGTGTACTAATTTATAGATTACATCATGGAATGTAATGACTACTAGTATACTTATACTTTATATTTGGGTGGTGTCTGCTGCAATATCAGGATACTATGAAAATAATTGAATTTTGTCTGACAAACATTAATTGTTATCCTTTATAAGAGCAAATTACATTAAGTTTTATCATTGTTTTCTTTGGTTTAAAAAACTGAAGACTTTTATTGTTAACAATTTCTTTATTCCCACTTCATAGAGAACATTTTACCATAATCTTTAAGCATCTCCATTAAATGAAAAGATACATATATTTATTATTACAAACTGTCCAGGATCATACCCATGAGAAAAGGAACCACTCAACTTCTACTACAAGATATATTTTTTTCATTTTGAATAATCAGTTCCATAAGGCATAACAATATTATAAAAAAAATACCAATTAATATTCTGTGTAATCTCAAAATAAAATATCAAGCTGACAACAGACAATAAACTTAAAGATTTTTTTGCACACATTTAATTGGACATAACATATCCTGCGACTGTTTTCTGGGATTTTTAGTAAGGAAATATGATAGGATTGCCAATGAGACTGCTATCCACCAAGGACCAGAGGACAAGGTTGTAAGAAACTACAGGTCAATGTTCAGCTTTCAACAATGAGCAAAACCCATACAGTATTTTTGTAGTAGGCTAAATAAGGTTTCATGGAGTAACAAAACATGGGGACCTCAGTGGCTTAGTAGTCCAAGTAGTTCATCTAAAGTGATGACAAGCCTGTGAACTCTGAGGTTGTGAGTTCAAACCCTGCTCTTCGCCAGTTGAATTCAACTCTGATCTTAATTGACAAGGATCACCAGTTATTTTTGCCAATGGTCAGAGGTTCTAACTGATACTCCAGCTGCATCCATCAATAAACACTAGCTGCCATTTTATAACCAAGGGAGCTTGTAAGTGCAGAAAAAAAATCCCATTTTGATGCTTTCAATGCATATTTTAACAGATTTTGTTATATTTTAATTTGTAGAACATTTAAAAGGAAATAAATAAATCTTACCTGGTGTTGAATGACCATTTTGTATAGCAGTGTCTTTTGAACTATTTTGTAATGTTGCCTCATGTACTAAAATATCTGCGTTTTGACCAACTTTTAGAAGCTCCTCTGACCAGCAGGTATCACCACATATAATTACTTTTCTTCCTGGTCTTGGAGGTCCAACAACATCTCTTGGGGAAATCTAAATGATAATTACATATAAATCTGCTTAAGGTTTCATGGATAAAAGTGACTTCAGGAAAATGTGTTAATAAAAGAGTCTGGATGAGGGTCCTTCATTTATTTATTCTTTAACTTTTTATACCATTCTTCCCTATTCTTTATTTATTTTGCCCTTTATTCCCTATTCTTTATATTTCCGCACACTGTAATTCTCTTTTCTGTATTCTTTTTGCTTCTTTTTCTCTATTCTTTATTTTTTATGGCCCTTTATTCTGCCCTTTTGTCCATTATTCTCTATTCCGTAAAACCCATCAATACCCTCATTAAACAGCAATTCAATTATATGTTATGAAATACATGTATTTTTTATTGTTTTTCCACCGCTGATGCTATAATTTTTTTCAAGTTGATATAATATCTGTTATCTTAAGGAATTCTGCAGTTTTCCCACTGTTTTCCTTTAATTTGATTTACTGGTCCTACTTATTAAAAAAAATTACAGAAGCATTATTGGTGCAAAAGCTGAGTTTTGATCCTTTTTTGTTTGTTTTGGGTATTGTTTTTTCATTGGATTTGGTGACGGAATACCCAATTGCACTCTATTAATTGCTGCTGCAATCTTGACCTTTGATCAAATGAAATCATAAGCAATATGCATTTTATAAGTTTTTTAGGGGAAGAGCTTTTGTTAGTTGAAGCCATATTAATTATGTGTATCAGTGGAAAAAAAATATGACAAATAAAAAGTAGGTAATGTCAAAACACATAATTAATTAACAGTGCTTGGTGATGATTCATAGTCTGACAGATTCAGTCCTTTATGGACCTTCTTCAGAGGCAGAATGATGGATTTAAAGTGGCACACTATTTATATAGTGTCTGAAAGTTATCAGCTACCATATAATTATCTGTTATCTGTTATTGGATAATTTTTATCCAATCAGATGAATTTCCATTAAAGGAAAGATTTTTCAACATTGATAAAAATAATTCAAAAATTATATGCACTTTTTACCTTTTCTCCAGATGGTGCTGTGACTGTCTGCCCTGATTTTATTATAGAATATAAGGGACCTGGAGGTATCCCTTTAGCCTTTAGTTTAGCTGGATCTAACCTGTCAGAAATATATAGTTTCAGTATTATTGGTAAATTTTCTCAGACATCTTCGCTTTTTTTTTTTAAGTGAGTGTACTACATTGATTGAAAGTTAAAGTAATACCAAAATTGAGGACTTTAAGCAAACAAAAATCAATCAATCATTAGAATATTGAGGCATTATAATATGAAAATATATAAACATATATGTACCGGTACACATTCTGCCAAACTTTATTAATCATATCCTGCTTTAAAGTTTGCAGGAATATAAAAATATGAATGTCTGTTTTGTAAATTTTGTACTACATGTAACATCCTGGTTTTGTTTAACAATCACATGGTAAAATATGGCACCAATTCCTTAGTATTGAGTCATTCTATATTACTGTGGATTCATCACTATTCGTGGGATACCAAATTTCTTGAATTTCGTGAGTAAAGGTAAGCCACGAATTTAAATGATCAACAAAGTACATATTTATTATAAGTTTGTATACAGACTTTGGCAAAAGCCACAAAATCAAATATCCACAGATTTATAATATTTCCTCAATCCATAGACAAATACATTTGTCTTTTGTTGAAGACCTTATGTTGACCTCTCTAGAGTTGAATTTTTACATCATACATTTCAACCTCTGGTTAAAAGCAAGTACAATAGACCTGAACCACTTTAAACTATATACAATATGGGTTTTTCTCATTGTTGAATCTGTTCAATGGCCTATAATTGCTTATATCCATTTCATTTGAACATCTCCTTATTTTTTTATACAAAAGTTCATATCATACAAATTCTAATTTCATTTTGACATATATTTGTTTACAATAGCCAATCAAAGATGCAGTGATGGATATAGTATAAATACCTTACTTTCCAGATATTGGTTTCTCTTGTATTACAAATCCAAACGATGGAATTCTATGTTTCAACCAAACTGCCTTAACTCCAATTTTACTATCATCATATCTAAATAAAAGTTTTTAAAAAAATATACAAAATATATACAATTAATATTGGAATAAATAGTTTTTAATATTTACTTTGAAAGAAATTTTAAATTTGAAGCTAGAAAACAGATTATTAATTATTAAATATTAAAAGAAAATATTTGTGTAGATCAGCTTTTCATCTATGGTATGATTTTGTTATTTTATTTGACATGTGTATTACTATCATGATTTTTCTCTGCATGATAAGGATGAAGCTAGTATAGAAGGAACATCATCACAGATGTCTACAGTAATAAAATTTAATTCCATATCAAAATCAGAAACAATTCAAGGATGACTGGCTTCTAAATGTATTTTAGATCTAAATTTCTTATTTTAATGCCTACAAAACAAGACAGTAAAATCTTTCTTAATACCAGTGTAATTAAACAAGATATCATCTTTGTGTGCAACAAAAAAATCAACAAATCATCTCCCTTGCCAGTTTCATTATGTAGTGGTCACTGGGTTTTTCTGTCAAGATTTTCTTTGAAAGTGATGATATCGTTTTGAGCTAAGCAACTAAACCTTATTGAAAATCAAAACTTTAAAAACATTCATTTTCCAATTTATTCAGACAATTAAGTTTTAATGAAACTGGCCTCAATAGAACTTAAGTAATGTTTAAGAATATTGACTCAAATCATTTATTGAATTTAAGTCTACAAATATAAACTGATATGACTTGGGAAAATCAATAAACTGGCTATCATTATGTCTAAAGAAATTTTTCTAATTTGATTACAATATTTGAATACTTACAGATCCCAAACTTTGTCTCTATCACATTCTATCAATAAACCTGGTCGTTCATTTGGATGTAAGATATCATCACATGACAGGTTTACATCCCATGTCTGTAAATAAGAATTAAAATTGTAGTATTGGCTTCTGGATCCCAATTATTGTCACATTTACCTACTATATCTGTTTGGGTTGCTCACCCAATTTTGTCAATATAACGGAACTACATGTATAAACAAGTGCCATACAAGTGGGAAGTTTAGCTAACTATATAACCAGGTTTAACCCACCATTTTCTTCGGAAAAAGCCTGTACCAAGTCAGGAATATGACAGTTGTGTTCCATTCGTTCTGTTGGTTGATAAAGTCAAATGTTTGATTTTGTCAGTTTTTACGGACTTACCCTTTTTTGAATTAAACTTTGAGTTTGATATTTTTGTTAATACATTTTTTGCAGTTGTTCTTTAGTTACTTACTAGCAAATTTTCTAATTCTCTTCAGTTCTACATAAAGTTAAAGCATATCACTTATTAAATGTGTAAAAGTCCTTACAAGAAGTTTTTTGTTATTTAATATTTAAAATGTCCAATGAACTTAAAAAGACTAAATTTTTTTATAAGCTGAGGAGAGATTTATACATATATAAGTGAGGGTTTGGATGGGGTTTACATAATAGAGTATAATGAGCCAATACTGCAGAAAGATGGACAAAATAAAATAAAGAATAGAGAAAAATAAACCCCAAAAAAAAAGAATAGAAAATAATGGGGTGTTAAAATGAAAAGAATAGAGAAGAATGTGTCCATAGGACACAGGTGCTCCCACTTGTAAATATACAACAAATTCAGAAATTTTTCTAATTACAAAGGGGACATAACATTAGAATGGTGAAAGTGACGCCACCCAAATTCAAGCTTGATCTGTGTTTGGAGGTAATAAGCATTGTGTAAAAGTGTCATAACATTTGGTTGAGGTAAACTAAGGTTAAGAGTGCAGAAATGGCAAATTTAGCAATTTTTATATTTACAAAGGAACATTACTCTAGAACGGTGAAAGTGACGCCATCCAATTTCAAACTTAATCTGTGTTTGGTGGTAATAAGCATTGTGTATAAGTTTCATAACATTTGGTTGAGGCAAACTTAAGTTAGAATGCTGAATCAGCAAATTTAGCAATTTTTTATTTAAAAAGGGACACAACTCGAGAGCAGTGAAAATGATGCTACCAAAATTGAACTTGACCTGTTTTTTGTGGTAATAAGCATTGTGTATAAGTTTCATAACATTTGGTCGAGGCAAAATAAAGTTAGAGAAGGGAAACTAATTTTTGGGTGTACAGAAGTACAGACAGACAAGTAAAACTTAATAACTAGAGGCTCTCAAGAGCCTGTGTCGCTCACCTGTATTTACTGATGCTTTGGAAATCATGTAAAATAAGGTTAAAATCATAATTAATAGTATTAGATATTAGATATTATAATGATATCTAAGATAATAGCAAAAAACTGCAAAATTTTTGTAAAATTACTAACTCAGGGGTATCAACCCAACAACGGGTTGTCGGTTTCGTCTGAAAACTTCAGGGCAGATACATCTAAATCTGATGAACATTTTTGCCACCTGTCAGATTTGCTCTAAATGCTTTAGTTTCAGAGATATAAACCGAAAACTGCATTTTACCCCTATGGTCTATTTTTAACCAAGTTGGCCAGGATGGTTGGAAGGCGGGGTCATCGGACAAATTTTTTAAACTAAATACCCTAATAATGATTATGGCCAAGTATGGTTAAATTTGTCTCAGTAGTTTCAGAGAAGAAGATTTTTGTAAAAGATTACAAAAATTTACGAAAAATTGTTAAAAATTGACTATTAAGGGCAATAACTCCTAAAGGGGTCGACTGACAATTTTAGTCATGACGACTAATTTGTAGATCTTACTTTGCTGAACATTATTGCTGTTTACAGTTTATCTCTATCTATAATAATATTCAAGATAATAACCAAAAACTGCAAAATTTCCTTAAAATTACCAATTAAGGGGCAGCAACCCAACAACAAGTTGTCAGATTTGTCTGAAAATTTCAGGGCAGATAGATCTTGACCTGATAATCAGTTTTACCCTATGTCAGATTTACTCTAAATGCTTTGGTTTCAGAGATATAAGCCAAAATCTACATTTTACCCATATGTTCTATTTTTAGCCATGGGGGCCATCTTGGTTGGTTGGCGGAGTCATCGGACACATTTTTTAAACTAAATACCCTAATGATGATTGTGGCCAAGTTTGGTTAAATTTGGGCCAGTGGTTTCAGAGGAGAAGATTTTTGTAAAAAGCTAACGACAACGGACGACGACGACAACGGACGACGGACGACGGACGCCAAGTGATGAGAAAAGCTCACTTGGCCCTTCGGGCCAGGTGAGCTAAAAATGACATAAAAATTCATGACTTCAGAAATAAAGCCCCAATCCACACTCTCTGACACATAGGGAATACAGATAATTGATAGTTTTTACAAAGTTCTCCTATACCTTACCAATATTGCTCCACTGGTTTCAAAGACATATTGTTCTGGTATCATTTTTAGTTCATAAACTATATAATCAAATCCTAGTTGTGACTGTGACAATGATAATGACGTCCGTAAAAACTTTCTGAGACCTTCAGGACCATAAATTTCTACTGGTTCACTTCTTTGGTTATTCTGACTGATGGTACACATTAATCCTGGTAAACCATAACACTGCAAAATAGGTTTGAATTTATAAAACTGTGGATTCATTAATTTTTGTGGTTACCAATTTTTATAGATTGAGGAAAATTGATTTTCTGGAATTTTTTATTTTGTATAAAGTTGGTATAGAAATGTATAGAAATTGTGTACTATAGATGTCATTTAGCTCAAAATAATTTTTTTAAACTGTACACTAAATTCTTTTTGCCAGCTATTTATTTTTGCGACTTTCAAGAGTAGAAAAAATAACGTGAATATGTTAAATTGGATCTTTTACTTATATTAATACACTAACAAAGTTAGGCAATCTTGAAAATGAACGCCACATAATCGACTAGAATTGAATCAACACGAAAAAAATATCAAATATGCTAAAAAATACATTTTAGTTCATGTATATGTTTTGGAGTTTAGTGTGACGTCCATTTTCAATGAACTAGCACACATTTGTGTTTAGGGGCCAGCTGAAGCCCGCCTCCAGGTGCAGGATTTTCTCACTGTGTTGAAGACCCATTGGTGCCCTTGGGCTGTTTTCTGCTCTTTGGTTGAGTTGTCTCTTTGACACATTCCCAATTTCCATTCTCAATTTTATGGTACTTAATATTGCAAATTCCTGTACCCTGTGAATGTCCTAATGGTTGATGTTAAAACACCATTAAAAGGTTAACAATTGGGATGTTCACCTCATACGATGGCAATAATTGAATAATAATACATAGTGATCATTTCATTATAACGATACCTACATGGTCACCATGGAGATGGGTTATAAATATTTTGCTGATCTTTCCTGGTTTGACCTTACTCTTCATGACTTGTGTTTGTGACCCCTCACCACAATCAAACAACCATACCCAGTCCTCTGAAAAATATAATATTGTGTCAATCTGCCTGGCTTGGAATTTACATCATAGAAATAAGTGTTTCATGTTGTTTGTGTTACTGTGGATTCCTTTGTTTTTGTTGGTACCAGTTTTCATTGATTAAAGATAAATTGTATTTTCGTGGATATTTGATTTCGTGGTTTTACAAAAGTCTGAATAAAAGCCTGTAGAAAATATGTACTTTGTTGAACATTTAAATTTGTGGTTCACCTGTACCCACAAAAATGATATACCACGAATTATAATGGACCCACAGTACGGCAATTGTGGATAATAAAATTAATCTACATTAACATCTAAGAACGAAAAATCATAACTTGCAATTTTACGCTTACAAATTTCACAGGAATATGGATTACAGAAGTAGCAGGAAAAGAAAAAAAAAATATTGTTATTCTAATACTGATGCCTTAAAATTATGCCTGGGTGCTAAGTAAAAAATGTACTACATGCTCTAAAAACCATTAAAAATTGAATTTCAGATTAATATAAATTAGGTAAACTTTACCCAGTTTATAAAATAATTAATAAAAATAACCTAGTGACTGAGTTAGCTAAACGAAATTCTTGAGTTACCCTTTACACGTTTTATCAGTCATCATGATCATGCATAGTGATTATATTGATGGGATAATCAACTATCTTTTGTACATGATGAGTTGATGACTATTAGTTGATTATAAAAGTCACATGCTTCTAGTGACCTAGTCAGCCTTCCTGGATAATGCCCAGTGGCGATTCAGGGGACATACAGGGTGTATACCCCCTTTGATTGGAAAATATATCATTTTTTAGCATAAAATCATCCAAAAATATTGTTGCCTTGCTATGCTGGGCCATATTTCTTATGTTTAATGGAATTACACCCCTTATTCAAAAATCCTGGATACCTCCCTGATGCCAACTAGTGTGTAGTATATTTCACTATTTATTTAAAGTGTGTTCAATTTAATATTGTTCTCAAACTCATACTAATTTTACAGGCAAAATCCTTGTGATTTTGACTCTGGTGGATATTTGTCTCATTGGCAATCATACATCATCTCTTTATCTTTACAGACATATATGTACTAACCATTTTTTAGTGCTATGCAAGAAACTCCTCTATCAGGTGTAGGATAGGCTGATGCTGTTCCCAGAAATATCACCTCCATGCTCGTGATGCTAATATAAGCAGTTTCTGTAGCAATGCCTCCGCACAATTATCTCCTAAATTAAGAGAAATAACAAAATATGCAACAAGTTAACACATGATTTTCCTTTCTAACATAAATGAGAGTTTATTATGAGAAACCCAGATATATATATCAAAGTCCTAGCAAGCCAAAAATATGGGCCACAGCTCATTTATGCACTTATAGTTTTGCCACATATGTAGTTTTGATTTCTAAAGGAAAATATATAAATACTTATGAATACAAAAAAAATATTTCAACTTTTAACATGATTAACAAATAAAAGTATTTTAGGTCCATCAAAAATATTTTTTTCAATAATTTCAATTTTTTATCTATAAACATGACCAAGTTTTCAAGATTAGACTGTGCTGATTTGTCCTTCATATTGATTCTAGCTATAGGTCTATTTTATATATAAAAGATAAACAATTAGTTCTATTTCAAAATGAAGTTCAAATGGGTTATCTTTCATAGGATTGAACTGGTGCAATAATGAATAAATGAATAAAGGAGTATATGCTGTAATTTGGTCCATAATATTAATTATAAGTCTTTATTTCAATTGGTGCAGGATCTGCTTACCCTTCAGGAACACCTGAGAACACCCCCAGTTTTTTGTGAGGTTCCTGTTGCTCAGTCTTTAGTTTTCTATGTTGTGTTTTGAATACTATTATTTTTCTTTTGATAGTTTTTCATTTTTAGCCATGGCATTGTCAGTTTGTTTCAATTTATGAGTTTGAATATCCCTTTGGTAAATGTATCTTTAACCTCTCTTTCAAAATGAAAAATGTTTCAAGTTTCAATGTGATGCATAAACGAATGAGAAAGTGAAATAATACTAATTTTGTAGAACTTTTCTCATTAAAGACATGAAAGAGAGACTAAAGATATCAAACTCATAAGTCGAAAAACAAACTGACAATGCCATGGCTAAATATGAAAAATGATCAAAATACAAACAACAATATATAAAAACACAACATAGAAAGAAGACTGACAAACATGAACTCCACCAAAACCTGAAGAACAAATGTACCAATCAAGCCAATCTTTGCTCAAATACAAGTAATGAATTTAAAATTGTTTACATGTTTTTTTTGTGAATAATATAATTTGAGATATATGTATTTTCTTTTTTTATTAACCAATCTGCAGAGGTATATAAAAGGCATGCCTTATAAAACCTAAATACCAGATATATCAATATGTTTCTTTTAAATAGGGCAAACAAACCTAGGGCAAATGGACTCTATTGGGGAATGAATCCAGGATGAAGGGAACCAGGGGCAAACATGTACATGTACAAATGTATGATGTAAGTCAGGCGAAAGGATCCAATACATGAAGTTGCCATCACCACCACTATATCAATTTATAGGTAGATTGGGTGGCCCATATTCGCCATAGACAAATTTTTGCCGATTTGTGATTTTTTTCGGGAAAAGATGTGTGATGTCTGTCTAAAGTAAGGTGTGCACTATTGTTTGCTTGAACAGTGTCAGTGTCAATAATTCAATCCCATTTAATGTAGTATAACAATGGCGTGGTAAGTTTTCAGAGGTATGTGAGAGTTCTGGGGAATTTCACCTAATCAAATGTACAGTTGCCATCAAACTACGCATTAAAAGGGACCCAGATTATTAGTTTTCTTCTGCTCAATGAATAAAGGCTTCTCGTTTAGATTTATTCACATAGAATCTAATTTAAACTTTAATTGCCAATTCTTTCCTTTTCACGCCTTCCACTTCTCGTTTTTCTTACGCGCATGCACGTTCTTACTGAAATTTACTGTATAATTTTTTTTAGAGAGCCTGGGAAACATTTCTCCAGGATTGTTCATTTACAAAAAAAAATGTATTCATTTGAAGAAATGTGGTAGCACATCTTTTGTGAAAAAAAATGCAGCTATTAAGGTATGTTAATGTTATCTGTTTAATCTGGGATTAGTAATCTGGGATCCTCCTTCACAAGACATGTTAATTTAAAAATTAACTTTAGCATGTTTATAAGTGAAATTAAATGATACCATGAATAACATGAATAAGTTGCTGAAGTTTGAATGTAGATTATCCTTTGATGAAAATGGACTGTTTTTTGACGAATATGGGCACCCCACTCTTTGAGAGTATTGAAAATACACTTCAATTAAGCACTTGGTCACAAAATTGAAACTTATAAATCTACCAGTAATTGTAAACAGGTGTGTTACACAGGTAAGACGGTCAACATATCATAGGGATGTTTTTTTTATACTACATCACCTAAATGTTTGATATGAGAACTAGTTATAACACTAATCAAATCTTAATTAAATTAATCTTAATTCTCATTGGTAGGTTTAACTCTATTTTTCATCATCTAAACTTGGTTTTTACAGATTGTGACTTGGATGGATAGTTGTCTCATTGACACTCATACCACATCTTCTTATTTTTATTGAGAATAGAAGACAATAAATTATACTTTAAAATATATATGTAAAAAATCATCTAAGTGGTGATACCTAAAAGCTCTGTGTTCAGTCACCGTGGTCACGTCAAAAGGGAAATTAAAAAGTGCACGACGTTCTAGCTGCACCAGTGACGTAAGGGGATAGATACGAATCAAAGTATTACTGGAAGTCTTCGTCCATTCTTCTTTCTTATTGCCTGTACCAAGTCAGGAATATGACAGTTGTTGTCCATTCGTTTGATGTGTTTTGTCATTTGATTTTGCCATGTGATTAGGGACTTTCCGATTGAATTTTCCTCGGAGTTCAGTATTTTTGTGATTTTACTTTTTTCTTTCTGGTAGGCAGATATATCTTTTTAGTTCGAATTATTATTTAAGAAAAACGAAATATAGATAATGAGATGTTGTTGCTAAATAAAGCAGATTGGTTATATATAAATTATCAATTCATTTATAAGTGTATTTTAAATAATGATCAAATATATATTAATAGGCAAACTGACATTTTGATAAATTTTCGTTTTGTGCAAAACTGTATGTAGAAATATGGCGACACCGGGCTGGAGCAGACTACAAACTGAAATTTTGAATTTATACCGACAAAGACACATTTTAAAAAGACACCTTTCTACGTTACGCACACAGATAACCAAAAAATCAATCAGTTTAGAAAGAACCAGAACAGATAGCTGTCATTTGTGTATGGTAAGACGCGATCTATTTGTCGACCTTGAAGAAACCTGCATGTTTCGTAACTTATTTCATAAGACTTTTGAACATAGTTTTTATATATGTTTTTTTCCAGGAAAGAATCGCCAATTTGCGTGGTTTTCAATTAATTTTGTAGTTTTTAATCACAGGGGTTGGTGTCTGTGATTTGACAGACAGGGACCACTCTAAGGTAATGGCTAATGCTAACATAACAGGTCAATTCCCCCTATTATTTAATTAAAAGTAGTGTTTTGGTAATTCCGCCCTTCTGGTAAACCCGCCCACTCCCATTTACTACTATTAAATTGTCACTTCCGTGAATATTTCGTCTGCTATTTTATTCATAGGAACTGTACTTATCATCATGATCATCACTGTATGTCAAATTTTAAAGAAAAATCCTTTATTACAAAAATATCTAGTGATAAATATAATACAGTTCCATAAGCTAACGATAATCATATTTTTGCTTACAAAACTCGTTTCTAACTTGAAATTTGTTTTTTTTTCAATTGTCTGGAATCCCTTTATCAGGTTGGGCTCAAGTCAGGAAAAGTGGGGTATTCCCCGTTTTCAGGGACCATCCCAGTTTTCTGGTGTTAAAAAACCCCAGTTTACAGGGACTTCCTTTTTCTATTTCAATTCATGGCATGAAATTTACAAAAGCGCATGTTTTAACTGTATCAGTAGTATTTGTAAATACTTTAAGTATCTCAGGAACAACAAAACATGAATAAGTGAAGCCTTGTTTTTTCTAGAACTCAAAAACATACAAATCTTTTGTTTAGGAATCAGTTGATCAAGCTGCATGCTCCAGGTGTAAATGATCATAACTGAATTATGTTCACTTCTATTGAAATTTTCTATTCATTGAATTTAAATGCCTAAGTGATTAACTTATCTTTTTGTCTTCTCATAATTGATGATCAAGGTATGAATTGGTGAACAAAGGAATTGTTTTGTTGTGAGTTGAGCATCAAATAAGACTTGAAATTAGCTTGATTTTTGAACTTATAAAAACACTTGCTATCATATAACATTGTTATCACATGTAGAAGGTGCGCTTTTGTAGATTTCATACCATAAATTGAGAAGGAAAAAAGAAGTCCCTGTTTACTGGGGTTTTTTAACACCAGAAAACTGGGGTGTTCCCTGAAAACAGGGAATACCCCAGTTTTCCTGACTTGAGCCCAACCTGTTTATACGTGGTCTATTAATAGATCACCTTTTCCTCATGTTCCTTTCATAAATATGTGATAAACTGGCCCTCCATACATATTTACTGCACATGGGCGGATTTATCGGACAAACACATTTCTGATAAAAACACAGATGACCCACTTGTTTTGTTGATTTTAAAATTTATTTCAGATATTTGTTGGGAAATGAGATAAACTACTCTAAATTGATTTGTCAGTGTATAGATTTATATTAAATTTGATACAATTTGTATGTAATTAAGCAGAAATACATACAATCAAAGCCTTATGTGGGCGGATTTACCGGACTGCATCATATGCATTACCACATTTCCCGATAACTCCCAAAAACTCAAGAAGAACCTGAGAACCAATAGGCAGTCAGAGATATAACTCTCTAGGGTTATTACAGAAAATAACTTGCGTGTGTTATTACAGATACATGTATTACACGAAAACTTTATTTTAGATAGAATAATACTGCTTTTATAGATATCAAAGATTATAATTTTGAGATATATGTAATTTTTACTCAATAAAAGTACTATTTAACTTCAGGAATTTGATTTGTGTGTCTTGTATGCAAGTTCATTGAAGAACAGTCAAAACAAGGATTTCCCTAATTTTGGATGTACAAATTACACAAAATCTTTAGCATGACATCATTCTTCAAAAAGAATTCATCAAATTAAATTATGTCATGAACATGATGAATTTGTTCTGACACAAAATGTTATATTATTATGGTATATGATTATTGGTTTTATGAGTTTGACAAAGCATACCTAAAAGTCTTAGGTGCATATATAGCCGTAGAAAAATACCTGTGATTCAAAAATAGGTAATAAAATAATGTATATAATACAGTAATATAGAATAGTAAAGGGATACATTAATTTTTTTATGGTAATAAGTACATGTACCTATTTTCAATCAGTTATGGCTGACTAGAAATTCAGGTGGCAGCTGTTATTGAGAGTAGAAAGATACAATTTTGGAGATTTTTTTTCAAATCACAGCTGAAATATTCTAGTGTTTTCTTCATGCATAAAACAGATTGGGAATAATAATCATTATCATAAATATGCTTCAGTTATCTCAACTGTGTTTTTGTTTCCAGAAACCTTTAACTTATAGTCAGACAGTACCATTAAGATACAATAGTGCAGTGATAGCCAGTCATAATACCAACCCTTTTAGTCTGGTAGAGACAGAGGTGTCAACTTTATGTGATAAAATTAAACAAGTAAGTTCAATTTTGACTTCCACCAATAAAACACAGATAGAGTTGAATTTGGGTAGGGTCACTTTAACAATTATTAAGTTATGCCCCTTTATAAATTGAAAGATTGCAAAATTTTTAGTTTCCATTCCGTAACTTAAGTTTGCCCCAAACAAACATTATGAAACCTATACACAATATTCATTACCACAAAACTAAGATCAAGTACAAATTTTTTGTTTCCGCTTTATACTTTACATGTAGTTTGCAATGTTATGAAACTTATACACAATGCTTATTACTACATAATACAGATTAAGTACGAAATTTGGTGGTGACACTTTTACCATTCTTGAGTTATGTCTCTTTATAAACATAAGAATTGCTGAATTTTTTAGTTTGTCTCAACCAAATGTTGTAAAACTTATACACAACAGTTTTAGAGTTATGCGTGTTTACAAATAGAAAAATTGCTGAATTTTTAGTTTCTGTTCTCTACTTAAGTTAGCCTCAACCAAATGTTATGAGACTTACACACAATGCTTATTACCACAAAACTCAGATCAAGTTCAAATTTGGGTAGTGTCACTTTTACCGTTCTTCAGTTATGTTCCTTTATAACTATATGATATGCAAGCGGGGGCATCATCTGTGTCCACATGTGGACACTATCCACATTTATTTTCAAAGTGTCTTCCCTAGGTACATTTTTTGTACCATGTATTTTCTAATGGAACAGCCCTAAGCACGATCTGTACTGTTATTTTTGCAAATCAGCACTAAATTATTTTGTGCAACCAGGAATACATAATCTCATGTCAGTAAGGATCAGTTAATTACAAATTTGTTCAAATAAGATTTTTTTATTTTATTTTTGTTATTTTTTGTAGCTGAAATCATAAGGTTTGAGAAGTTTAAATGCAAATCAAATCACTAAAATTAGTTGATGAATTTGTCTTGCAGAAGTTTGTATCAGAAAAAGATGAATTAAAAGACATAGCAGATTATTATTTCGATGGGAAAGGCAAATTTTTCAGACCAATGGTTGCCTTATTAATGGCCAAAGCTGTTAATTTTCATAATACCTCAGAGGACAGGTAATATATCAATAGTATCATTGCAGCATGAATATTATATATTATACCCCAAAAAAAAGAATCATGTACATGATGTATCGTTGTTTGAAACATTAAAAAAATTGCTATTTATCGGTGTGCATATACAAAATTTTGGACAATAACTGAACTTTTACTGGACTAGCAGCATGCTTGAAAGATTATGGGCTAGAATGGTTAGAGACAAATGTTTTATTTATCTCTAATTTAAAATAAAAAGCTATTTTTTTGTGATCTACTGCTATGATTTACCAAAGATTACCTTAAATGATTTCAGTATATGGTCATCACAAGAAGAAATAGCTATGATTGCGGAAATAATACACACAGCAAGTCTTATCCACGATGATGTTATTGATGGTTCCAACACACGAAGAGGAAAACCTACAGTTGACAGTGTATGGGGCCAAAAAAAGGTTTGTATTTATTCTTCTCATCACAGAAAAACACCTCTTTAAATACTAGGACATAAAAAATATGTCAAAAGAACATTGCTATCACTGCTGTTCTTACTTTATCAGGCTTTAGTTGAAGAATGAAAAATCCCAAACCTGACTGTTAAATTCCACCTTTAATTTTATCTTACACTCATTACCTGTAAATTATAGGCGGTCATAAAAATTACAAATAAAAAAGATTATTGTAAAAGATTTAATTTAATTCAGTTCAAAGCTTTATTTAGAGTCGGTACATATATATAACATACAAACATAAGCAAACATATTAAGCTCATTAGAGCTTTTAAAACCAACATAGATACTACACATAAAAACACATTACACACATAAGACAATGCACTGAACAATATAGATAAAAAATATACATTTTAAAAACAAAACATATGTCCATAGATAAATAAAAACAAAACATATGTCCATAGATAAATAAAAACAAAACATATGTCCATAGATAAATAAAAACAAAACATATGTCCATAGATAAATGTATCATTGATTGATGGTCTTTGTTGGATGAACTAAGCTATGGTGGAAATGAGTGCTGTAAGTGGATGGATTTTATAGATAGACCACATGAATTTATTTAAACTCCTAGAATTTCATCCCAGCCTGTGCACTTTGTCAGAATTATTTTTTAGCCTGGAAATTGTGTTCATAATCTTTTCTGAATATATATGTTTAAATTATTTTTGAATCACCTGTTATAACTAAAAAAAGGATGGAACCTGATTCTAAATGATTTTTTTTTGGCCTGATAATATATATATATATATTGTTCTAAGAATAAACAAAATAATTGATAAACATGGAGGGCTTTATATAATGATAAGTTTTCTGTATGATAGATATATTCAAAGTGAAAAATATGTCTAATAGGAAAACAAGGATATGAGGTTTTCATCCAAAATCAGTACATGCACAGCATATACATCTATTTCATCTGTGTTTTAACAGAGCTGTAAAATATTGACGTTAAATTTACCAAAGTATCAGTTTTGATATAAGCAATTGTGCAAAAGAGGGAACGAATAGAATTTTAACCATAATATTTACTGCCAAACCTAAATAGTTGCATAAATGGAAACACTGATCACACATACATTGTGTATTTCCTTCTTTTTTTTTAGGCAATTTTAGCAGGAGATTACTTATTATCTGTATCATCCGTGGCATTAGCTAGACTTGGAAATACTGAAGTAGTAGAAGTTTTATCTCAGGTTATAGAAGATCTAGTCAGGGGTAAGGAACTAGAAAAAACAGTTTGTTCTGTAAAAGACTTTCATGAAAGAATTAATGAAGTCAATTAGGGGGATTCAAATAATTTGTGAATATTTTGAATTTTTTTCATCGTTATAAATCATCATAGGGATAACAACAAGCAACAGAAATGTACTCTTGTTTTCATTTTCCTGTGCAGGTTTGAAATATATAAAGCTTTTATTATTACATTAAGTTTTTTCAAAGTAATTGTTGCATCTGATTTCTGGATAGTTACTTTTTATTGTTTTTTTTTTAATTTTTTTTTATTTTTGGGGGCTGGAGTTGAGTCTATCAATTATTTTGTGTAATGATTAGATTCTTAAGTAACAATGATTATTGAAACGGTAAGCTTAAGATGGTGTTAGCTTTTAAATTAATACCAATTATATAAATAACCAGTATGCTATGGGTATTTTACAGGTGAATTCATGCAGTTAGGCTCAAAAGAAAATGAAAATGACAGATTTAATCACTACCTCAAAAAAACTTTTAAGAAGACAGCCAGTCTACTAGCTAACAGTTGTAAAGCTGTAAGTTAACTGTGACTACTTGTCAGTCTCATATTTAGTAATCAGAAAGTAATAAAACAGTTCTTATGATTTTTTATGCCCCACCTAGGGGCATTATGTTTTTCGGTCTGTGCGTCCGTTCATCCGTCTGTTCGTCCGTCCGTCTGTCCCTCTTCAGGTTAAAGTTTTTGGTCAAGGTATTTTTTAATGGAGTTAAAGTCCAATCAACTTGAAACTTGGTACACATGTTCCCTATGATATGATCTTTCTAATTTTAATGCTAAATTAGAGTTTTGACTCCAATTTCACGGTCCACTGAACATAGAAAATGACAGTGCGAGTGGGGCATCCGTGTACTATGGCCACATTCTTGTTATACAGTGAATTAAGGGCTTTCCAAAATTTATTTGGATGCACCAATAACACCAATATAAATTATCATGGATATGTCAGTACTTCAAAAATGAAAAATAACCTGAATATTGCTACATATAGTTTCTCCTGCTGTTGCAAGTGAGTTTCTCCACTGAAGATTTTTTAATTTTTAACATCAGAGCTTTAGCATTAACATTTACTTCATGATGTTTACACATGAGTGAACAGTCTTTATTGAGCTAAACCTCATGACTGGAATGGACAATGATGAAGATGTTGCCAAAAAAATATATTTATAATTTGACATCATAATGAATTCTGCTACACACAGCACCAGTAATTATTGGTTTGTCGCTTCAGGCCATATTACCCACATTGTTATATCACCTGGCTAAGTATGTCATACAGCATAAATGAATATTCAGCATGCATTTACATAAAACTTGTTGGATGATGGACAAAAAACTACTCATCTGAAGAAGTATAGAACACTATATAGTTGAAATTTAATGTGTAGTGGAAAGTTGATGTTACAAAAGCAGTACTAGTGATGCAACTAAATGCGGACCTGTGGGACCTGGGGGGCAGAATTTTAGAGGGTCCGGCAAATGACGTCTTTGTGTCACACCCAATGACCGGCAAATATTTTTACTGTTTGGGGCCGTCAAAATTAGTTCTTGTAACCTTGGCTTCCAAATTAATAATGTAGTTGAAAGGCATTGAAAACCGAAAGTTCTAATGACACATTTATTGCTGGTAATAGGTAAACGTGCTGATGTAAACATATTTCGATCTTCTTTGCGTTTATCCAATTAGCATAAGTCATGTGACCATAATTATTTTTGTATTTCTCGGGATTTATTATTACATATAGCAATGAAAACGAAAGTAAATTTCCGGTAAAAATATTGAGTAGAAGCATGTTTTCAGCTTCTTTTTGATAGCTGAGGGATAATTCTGATGATTACAAGACTCAGCAAGTGTTATCAGACGCGTTCATTGGACGCACGGTTCATGCAATGGCACGTCCAGACAGAAAACCATGCGTCAATGGCGCGAATAAGTTGCCATAACAAGAACATTGTTAGTATAAAAAAACGTGTTTCGTCTCCATATGACACATCAGTGGTGCATGAACAGTTGGAATAATAGATGGCCAAATCAATTATGTAGTTGAAAAACACTGAAAACCAAAAGTTCTATTAAGGGACAACTAATGTCGTAATGACCAGATTTAAGTAAATTATAAAATTAAACAAAAACAAGTATTATTTTAGTTTTCTAAGAGTGTTTTTTTCTTCCTTTTAGTTAATGTATGAACATATTTATTCGTTTTGACATACAAATGTAGTTTGCCACTGTCTTTGTTTTTGATCTAATTGTTCTTATGCCAATTATTGGCATAAGAACAATTAGATTATCTTGTGTCAAAGTACTCCTGTGAGGAATAACTCTTGGGTCATCATTTATGTATTAATATATTGAATAAACTACAATGTTTATGAATATGAATCACAGATTACAATAATATATAACAAAATAAAAATTAATTATTCAAAAGCGTCTCATTTTATTTTTGAGTGAAAATATAGGTCTGGCAAAAATTTGATGGGTCTGGCTAAACTTACTACCCTGTAGGCCCCAATGTCTGACAGAAAAAAAAACTGTTTGCATCTCTGCAAAACTAAAAACTAAAAATTAAAGGGCATTCCTTCTTACATTTATTTGTGGAATAGCCTTTTACTTAAAAACATCATTACACACAAATTGATTCAGATTAAAATCATTTATTTTTTGTGATCTTTCATGGTGAATGCTGATGGTCTTGGGTGAATGACTAAAAAATGCAAGGTTGTAAATCATGGTTTTATCACTTAAACAATTCGCAATCACTCCCTTTCAAAGTGATTCACTCAACTTAAGCATGAGTGATCTATAAGCTGAATCACCTTGAGTGCACTGTATATATTGTCGATTGAAAATTATTTTTATATGAAATTAAGTATAATGTTTTTATTTATTAACAGTTCCAGTTACATTTTGTTACTTTCTATTTTTCAGGTCTCTATTTTAGGAAATTCTAATGAAGACATATCAGAATTAGCTTTTGAGTATGGAAAAAATGTTGGTATAGCTTTCCAGGTATGATTTAAATAAAACCTCTAGCTTTTGTATTGCTAATCAATAAATTTTATATTATTTATAATTAAGTTTGTGCTTAAGCTTTTCCCAGTTTTTACCACTTAATTTGACTTTCTTTTTTTGACATTTCTTTGGAGTTTATTGTACGTGAGTGTATTTCTATTTTCACTACTTATCACTATGTTAGATTCAGCTACCCAGTGACTCTTCATCTATTGACACACTAAAATCACTCTTGCATTTTGGTGTCAGAAATTTTCTTGTATAGCATCAAAATTTGACAGAATATCTCTCATTAGTTTTATTAATGGCATAGAAATAGCCATACATTATTATATATGAACAAAGGATAATGATTCCAGTGCATTTGATCCATATTTCTAAAATAAACTTCATGGGGTAAAACCGTATGTCCGAGAACAAAATTTTCACAATAAATTCCATAAATTTTTGAAAAGCACCAAATTAAAAAAAAACTTAAGGATGGGTAAGGGTTGTAGTTGTTACTGGCAAATACAGATCCAATGTTGAAGTTTGGACACATGTCACTAGTAAGTGAATGTAGCCCATAGTTTTACCCATGTCCATCATTCTGAATTCAAATAGTTTCGAGAACCTTTTTCTTTATGACTACAGATATTGATTTGATTTTTGGTACTTAAGTGTATCTTAGTGGTTTACAGATAAAATTCACATTTCATCCCTGCTTTGACCCTTGGACTCTTTAAATGAAGATTAATGTATGAAAGGAATTAATTATATTTTGTTGCTACATGTACCAACATTTAAGACGGCTCTTATCTCTTTCCCTTAGCAATATTATCCTTTGGATTCATTTATATTTTGTTATGGCTGTTCTGATTTATTCAACAGGCTTGTGATGCTATCAAAAGTTTTATAATTTCATAGCCTATCCAGATTGGAATAAATAGCGATTAGATGAATTAATTTATGTTATATTTTTGTTACAGTTAATAGATGATTTATTAGACTTTACATCATGTGAAGAAGTAATGGGTAAACCCACTGCTGCTGATCTCCGATTAGGGCTGGCAACTGCTCCAGTATTATTCGCTGCTCAGGATTACCCAGAACTCAATCCAATGATCATGAGAAGATTTAATGAAGAAGGAGATATAGAAAGGGCGAGGCAACTTGTAGCTAAGGTTATTTTTGTATAATATTTATATTTTAAGCAGAAAAAAAATGAGTTTAAAACAGTACAAAATATTTTCCTAAAGGATGTTAGTTACACAGTAGTGTTAATATATGAATGTAAGATATATATTTTCACTGCACAAGTTCAATATTACTGCAATAACCTTTATTAGGTTTGCTTAAGACCAAAAGCTTGGGAAGTGGTGTACATGTAGTATTGGGGAATCAAAACTGCACCTTAAGCTCAAAGGACCTAAACAAACTAGCTGAGGCAGTTGTAACTATATTAAACAGGTATACATGTACTTGCAACTAGCCTACATGAGTCTGGGACTCACAATATTTGGTTGGGTCTCACCAAATTTTTTTGAATTTTATATTCTTACAATGGTGGATCTCATCAGAAATTTACCAAAAAATGTCCTCTGAACTCATTGAAATAAATTGTAACAAGTATTTTTTATTTTAGTTCAAATACATGATAAACTCAAATTTAAATCAGAATTTGATAATTCCATTCTATTCTATAAGCCTATACACAAGATGGCAAACTTGAATTGCCCCAGATTCTGGAAAAGTTTTGAATATATTTAACAGAGAGGAACTTCCCAAAATGACAACAACAAAAAATATTAAAAAATTAAAAAAGATTAAACCCAAGACAACCACTGAAAAGTTTTTGGACTTGGAACAAACAATTGAAAAAGATCAACCCTCCCCTACTGATACCGGATTCCAAGTGTTTATAACGATACATATGCACTTGGCTAAGACTCAGCAGGATTTTATTGACAATTATTTGTTTATTGTAGAGTGATGGTGTAACACAGACCAGAATGTTAGCCGAGGAGCATAGTAAAGAAGCAATTAGACAAATTAGGTCATTAAAACAATCTATACCTAGGGATTCATTAGAACAATTAGCTGTTTTATTACTACAGAGGCAAAAATAGATCTTCTAGGATTTAGTAATTTTTTTTAAAAGCAATCAATTGTCATATTTTTTATGCCAGGGGCATTGAAATGAAGGTTTAAGTCAAGAGTGTCTATTCCTAAATTTTTGCAACATTTAAATATATTATTTATATGAAATTTTATATTTTCATAATAACTTGTATCAAATTCAATATACTGGCATGTCTGCTAAAATCCTATTACAGCACATTGACTTGAGTGTGTAGGTAAAGGTAGTATCTTTTCTAGCTTGCTTGCTAGCTGAACCATGAAATCATTATTAGCTAAGATACTACCTTCTTTTGGGCGGAGTCAATAGTTAAGCAGGGAACCAATCAAAAGTAGGAACAGTATATAAATATTGTGAAACCATGCAGTTTTACAAGTTAGTTCAAAAATATGTTTTCAGATTGTAGGTGTGTTTGATTTGTCAATATCATTTCAATCAATTACCTCTGTACATTTATAACTGGATTGTTTTACACGTGTAATTCATTATAACATTATGATTTAATTGATTTAAAAAATCACTTTTCATATCCTTATCATATATGTTTATATATATAATAAGGATATCATTATCTTTGATTTTGATGTGTATTTTTTTGGGGGGGGGGGGGGGGGGGGGGAGAGTGCTACAGAAGGTGTAAAAATAAACTTAGTTGGGACAAATCTTTGAGATGTTCCTCTCACCATGCTTTTGTAAAAATGGTATTGTAATGCTTTGATTAAAATGAAATTGACAAATCAAATACACCTACAACATACTTGTGAATAAGCTGATAATTGACACTATATTTAAGATCAAGATTGAAAACATCTTTCTAAACTGGTTTCACAATGTTTATGCACTGTCCTTATAATTACTTTTGATTGGTTCTCTCCTTTACTATAATAATTGACTCCGCCCAAAGGAAGGTGGTACCTTAACTAATAATGATTTCATGGTTCAGCTAGTAAGCAAGCTTACCATAGAGACTACCTTCACCTACACACTCAAGTCATTGTGTTGTAAATAGGAAATTCCTCTTGTGGTAATTTGTTTAAGGTGGGTCTCCTTGGGGTCTAAGCGTGATGCGGGATTGGCCGTTTTTTTGTAAGCATGACATGTGAAAGTCATATTATTGTGCGTGAAAACAGGAAACGAAGTCGAGCGGGACACATGAAATTACAAGCGTTATGATTACAATGATAAGCGGGATACAGGAATCTGACAAAACAATAAGCGAGATCCCCTTTAAGGATAAGGCTTGCCATTCATTGAACCAATTTTGCATGCTTTCTAAGTTTTTTAAGGTTTAAAAATTCTTTTATTCAGTAATCCAATTCTTTAAATGAATTATTAAAAAAAATAATTACATGCAAATTTACAACAATTTAACCCTTTTTACTAAATGATTAGTTAATATAAAGTAAAATAATAGCGAAAGGGGGACATAACTGTTTTATATAGAGTTCTTTTATGCAAATGAAAATAAAACTTTTATTCAGAAGGCTTTCCAAGATAGATGGTAGATTTTCAAAATTTTTATCATGTGAATGGAAATGCTCTCCTATACCTAGAATATTTTCATCTATGCATTTCATTATTTATCCTCATATTTTTATAATTTTTTATCTGACAATGAACTTTATATATACATTTGGACGGTTATTTCTGAATTTTCAATTATCTGAATGTGAAAAAAGATATGACTGAATAACCATACCTCAGAAAGTTATAATTATTTTTTTTCACTGCCACTGAAAATCTTATAATATATTTATATGTTTATGTCTCTTTTTTATTTTTTGTGTACCTATTATAGAATATATTAATGATACCATAAATATATGTGTCTTTTATTCTTGGCAAACAAAAGTTACATTGATGGCAGTTTGTAATATGGTGTAGAGTATGATTTGCAGTATTATAAGTTTCTGTTTTATCTCTTTTGAGGTTCTGTAAAAATTGTTGAATTATTGTTTAAACAAAGTCTATTAACACAATCTAAGCTACCTTAGATAATTTAGCTAATTAATGAATTGAGAATTACAGGGGGGGATCCAGCCATTTTTAAAAGGGGGGTTCCAACCATATGTCCCCATTCAAAAGTATTGATCGTCAAAAAAAGGGGGAGGGGGTTCCAACCCCTGGACCCCTCCCCGGATCAGCCACTGAATTAGATCAATTTGATTTTTGATTTTAATAATAAACCTTAAACTCCAACGATTTTACTTCAAAATGTGATTTTATATATATCAAGGAACAAAAACTAAATATTCTGCTTCATATTTTCCAATTTGTAAAAAATTACCTCAAAGGGAAGTCTTGTTCTTCTGAAAAAATAAATTGACACTATGTTACAGTACACCGAACATAATTGAGTTCAAAATCTCTCTTAGTGCTGATTTTTTAGAGTGAATGCTAGTTATCAGGGTGATTCAAACTAAAGTATATCTTCCATAGGTATAATTGAAAATCGAATGCAAGTACTTTCTTTAAAATAACATAATGAAAATAGTATGGCTTTCTCCTGACATCCTGATGTTTAAGATGACTTGCTTACAAAAGATGAAGTAGGTCGGGGTAACACCCAAATGGAGCTATTTTTAAATACTGAAATTAAATCAGTGATATGATGCAGGCATTATATTTTTATAACAAAGCATGTGATCAAAAATTAACATCAAAATATTAGAAACATTCGCAATAAAATGCTATTTATGTAATTTGCTAAATCAATGACAGAGAACAAATTGAAAAAAGGGAGGGGGTATTCCTAAAGCTACTTGATTTTGATGTTTGTTAATTATTGCTTTAGGTCCTAGAATAATTTTCCAGTATTGTGTGAAATATTGTGGAGCTATAATAATAAATTCAATGTCACTGATTTGGGGTTTGGAGTTTTTTTGTTTTTTTTTAAGGAAATACATGTCTTTTTCCTACATTTGCCCACAAGAAAAACATTACTACAAACAGAGAACTGACAGTGAGTTCTGAATGTCCTTTTTTTGTAGTTTAAGTTAAATGAAAATAAATAATTATTGGTTATATTTTTTGGAAAGCAAACCAGTTTGTTTTATTGCAAGTTGCTGACAAACCTATCCTTCTGTCATCACTGTTTGTTCTTGTCAGCTTCAAGATTTATTCTTAAATAATCAAATGTCTATATATACCAGTTAGTTTTGGAAAAATCTCTTTATATAAAGAATCCCAATGAGTACATTTTTTGATTGATTTTCCAAAGTTCTGACTTGGTACAGATACTATTAATAAAAGTGGTTGGTTGAACGGGTTTTTGCAGCATACCAAATCACCAATTTGTATGACAGTCATTCCATTTTCGATTAACTGTATGTATCTAGAAAAGCTCTTCATATCTTGAACTAAAAGTCCCACATCAGACTCACAAAATTTATAAGTGTTATTTTCATTGCGATTGAGTCATTGCCCTTATGTATTCACACAGCCAAATAGACATGGCTGAGTGTTCAAACATCTTCACCTAAATATGAATGCTTCTCAGCAAGTGCTTTGTAGGTCCAGATAGCTTCACATACTCCATTATTTAATTTATTGTTTGGACTTGTATTATTATCCTTCCAACACTTCCAAACTGCCCCTCATTGAAGAGGGTAGAGGTAAGGTCAACTATCTTACATAAAAAGTATTTAACTAATTATTATACCCCAATCTAGGAGTAAGAGCTGTATATTCTACATTTGTGTTTATTTGGACTTCAAATAGCAAAGCTATGCAAACAAATAAAATATCAAGAACATGTACATAAAAAAAATCAGCATTTCAAACATACAAGATCTTTGATGTAAACAATATATCCATTAATAAAATACATTGTTGAGGGCCTGAGGGTAGGGGTTAAGACTAGTAAGTTGAATCAATTGTGTTTGATAAATTATTGTTCCAATTTAAATAAAATGCTCCGCTGGGGCGCAGCTTGATACGACTGCAGAGGTCGAACCCTGAACAGTTGGGGCAAGTATGGACACAACATTCAAGCTTGATACAGCACTGAATTTGGATTGTAATTAAATATTTCACACAGCATAGGTTTCTGACACAGAATGAAAGTGGTCTAAGAACTTAAAAATTTATAATTTACCTATTCAAACCATATCATTAATATTTGCTTTTATATATAAATCAGAAATAACCAATTTAAAATGGAAAATTTTAAAGAAAAAAAAGGAAAAAAAAAATCCCCCCCAAATTTTTTGAACCCCCGTATGATTCATCACCCCCAAACTCAATCCCAGCCTTCCCTTTGTGGTATGGTACCTTGCAGTACAATTTCAGAGAGATCCATACACTTGAACACAAGTTATTGTCTGGAAACTAGAAAAATGCTTGTTATTTGGCCCCTTTTTGGCCCCAAATTCCTAAACGTTTAGGGCAATTACCCCAAAACTCAAACCCAGCTTTCCCTTTGTGATATGGAACCTTGCAGTACAATTTCATAAAGATCCATACACTTACACACAAGTTATTGTCATGAAACTAGAAAAATGTTTGTTTTTTGGCCCTTTTATGGCCCCTAATTCCTAAAATTTTTAGGGAATTACCCCCTAAATCAATCCCAGCCTTCCCTTTGTGGTATGGTACCTTGCAGTACAATTTCAGAGAGATCCATACACCTGAACACAAGTTATTGTCTGGAAACTAGAAAAATGCTTATTTTTGGCCCCTTATTCCTAAACTTTTTTGGGCAATTACCCCCAAACACAATTCCAGCTTTCCCTTTGTGATATGGAACCTTGTAGTACAATTTCATAAAGATCCATACACTTACACACAAGTTATTGTCATGAAACTAGAAAAATGCTTGTTTTTTGCCCCTTTTTGGCCCCTAATTCCTAAAATTTTGAGGCAATTACCCCAATAATCAATCCCAGCATTCCCTTTGTGATATGGAACCTTGTGATACAATGTCAGAGAGATCCATACACTTACACACAAGTTATTGTCATGAAACTAGAAAAATGCTCGTTTTTTGGCCCCTAATTCCTAAAATTTGGAGGCAATTACCCCCAAAATCAATCCCAGCATTCCCTTTGTGATATGGGACCTTGTGGTACAATGTCAGAGAGATCCATACACTTACACACAAGTTATGTCTGGAAGTTACAAAAATGCTTATTTTTGGCCCCTAATTCCTTGACTGTTGGTACCATAACCCCCAAAATCAATCCCTACCTTCCTTTTGTGGTATTGAACCTTATGGTAAAATTTCATAGAGATCCATTCACTTAAACTAAAGTTAGAGTGCGAAAACTAATGTGTCTTCGGACGATGACGACGCCAACGTCATACCAATATACGACCACAAAAATTTTTTTGCGGTCGTATAAAAATTGGTAAGGTTATAAAAGAAAATCAGTCCATTACACAAATTAGCTCTCTAGGATTCTTTTATTGCTTATGCTCTGTTTATAAAAATGTTTTGCCCATGTTAGCTATTGTCAAAATTTGGCCTCTGTCTTCATCAACTTAAAAACTTCCTAGAGGGTTCCATGATATCCTGTGTCTCACCTGCTATTGCTGCTGTCAATGTAAAAGTGTGATGTTGACTGTCAAAAACTAGTCCATTTATCAATAAAAAAAAATTTAAAAATTAAC